TTCAGCTGATGTTGAACTTTGGCGCTGTCACCGCCGCCAAAGGGATCGCCCCATGTCACCACTGATCCATCTGCAATGGCGGCAAAGGCGCGCTCTGTGGCATGAATCTGCTGCACATCCCTGAGGCAATCTTGCACCGCAGAGCAGTCACCACCATATTCTGGATCGCCCCACGCGATGACTGATCCATCGACCAGGATGGCCGCAAATGCAAAGGATGTTGACTGAATCTGCTCGATACTTCTCAATTGATCTTGGACTTTAGTGCTGTCACCACCACACCGGGCAGAGCCCCAAGCCCTGATCTTGTCTCCATAGGTTGCCGCGAAGGCACAAGAAGTTGCTGCTATCCTTGGTCCTTGACCGATGGCAGTGATGTGATCTCCATCATGGAAGCCTAGGTCTTGTACGGATGCCACTGGATTCAGGACCGACCCGGATTTGATGAGTTTCAAGGATCTTTGTCCCAGCGATTTCGCCGCCTGACGCTGCAAGTCCGCTACTTGCAGCGACTCTGGTACTTCCAAACATGTACTTTTGCCACTTGGCAAAGCGATGGTGAGGCGCAACATTGGATGAATTTCGGAGAACACCCGTGAAGCATTAATCATCACTTCAATATCTTTCATGCGGGTTATTTTCCGATCCATCTTCCATGCGATCATGAGTCAATATGAGTCAGTATCAGTCAAGTAGTGAGTACGGTGGCGCTTTTTTTAATCTTTTTAACTCCCTAACATTTAAAATCATTTAAACAGATTAAACAGATACCGCATTCCACCTGCGAGCCACCTCGGCCCTTCAAAAAAAATGCCAGAGTTTTTCTTTTTCCCGATTTAGAACTACCCCTTCGCCCAAAGCCTGAGCTCACAAACCCAACCAACCTTTCTCGACCCCCACCCCCCCCCCCCCCCCCCCCCCCCCCCCCCCCCCCCCCCCCCCCCCCCCCCCCCCCCCCCCCCCCCCCCCCCCCCCCCCGCCCCCCCACGTGGAGTTCCAACGCATAGAACTTCAGCTCAAAAGCACCAGACGACGCCAAAGCCCACACGACCGCAGAAACTTCCCATTTGGCCATGGAAGCCCTTCAGCCTTCCGTAGGCAAATCTGGCAACAGATTCAACGAGACAAACCGTTGTAGATCAAGTTCCTGACGCGCCCAGTACAAAGAGAGAGCGAGGAGAGTAGGTTGCGCGCATCTCCACCCGCGCTAGCTGGTGTGTGCACATGTGATCATGCACTCACGAGAACAGCGAAGGCGTCGCCCCAAGACCGGGAACGCTTGTCACTTTCTCATCTTGTCAGCAGCCCATGTCGGAGGTAGAGCATGAGATGCAAAGCGAACAAATACCCGTGCAGATAGAAGGACGGCAAGCGCTGTCTTGGACAGGTGCCCTTGCTTTCGCAAGCAAGCTTTGGTCCGCTGCTCACCACTACCCGCCTCTCAGCACCTGCATGTCGTGCTCTACCACATCCCGGTCCTGCACACTTGGCTGCTCCCAAAAGAGGGTCGACTGCTGCCACACGAAGGGCTTGATCTGAATCCTGTAACCACTTTCAACCTTCATAGCAGTATATTCTGCTCCTTTGTGGGAACCAAAAGAGTCCAGGGTTTAGGCCCCCAACGAAGCCAAGCGGTCCTGTGGCGATTCTGGCAGACCAATGGGCTCAACCAGCTGCAGCTCCACCTGATGCATGTGCACACTAGTCCCGATAACTACTATTGGCTTAAGCACCCCAAAAGAATATATAAAAAATCCCTATATTACCCTTCATAAGGAAGAACATTTGTGTTTTTTTGGGGGTTCTCAAGCAATTAGTAGATACTGATGGCCGCCGATGGGCTCTTGTGGGTGTTAAGAAGCCCTACTACGAAAAAGGCACCTGTAAGGAGGCCCTGTTTCAGAACAACCCTAATCCCTAAACCCTAAACCCTAAACCCTAAGCCCTAAGCCCTAAACCCTAAACCCTAAACGTGAAAGCTGGCCTGCTCCTCCGGCAAACCAACCTCAGAGGAAATATCTGCGTGGCTGATCCTTCTGCACCTGGCTGCTGGGATCCGCACATTCTCTTCCACGACATCCAGAAACCTCAAGACTGAACTTCATCAGCCAACGTCTTGGGCCTTTGGGTCTTGGGAACCCTAAACCCTAAACCCTAAACCCTAAACCCTAAACCCTAAACCCTAAACCCTAAACCCTAAACCCTAAACCCTAAACCCTAAACCCTAAACCCTAAACCCTAAACCCTAAACCCTAAACCCTAAAAAACACCTAAACCCAAAAACTGCGGAGACTGACGAACCGACTGAGCACGAAGCCGATGGCTACAGCAGGCTCCCACGCCACACACGAAAGCCTGCGCGGGAGCTGGCAAAGCGACTGCAGCTCCAGGGTTTAGGGTTTAGGGTTTAGGGTAATTGCACAGACATCCCGAGGAGCGAGGATTTTTTTTGTCAATTTTTCTGGTTTTTTTTTGTGAACTTTCTTGTTTTTTCTTGCTTTTCTTGTGGTTTTCAGAACATGCCCTCCTGGTTCTGCCTGTCGTCCTCCTCTGGTGGGAATTCTTTTCTGTGCATTTTTTGGTTTTTTTGGTGAATTTTGCTGGTTTTCAGCTTCCGATGGCCTCTCAGCGGCACCGCGTGTCCGGAACAGGTCCAAATCTCAACGTGCTACAACAACACATTACGTCCAACCCTTCGTCCTTTTGCAACTCGCGCTTGGAGCGTCGGGGCGGCCATCGTTGGCCCCGACAGGACTCAAAAGCTAGTTAACGTCCGGGGCTGGTTCAAGAGGAACCTCGGATGCTTCAATCTGAAACTTTGCTTCGGTTTAGGGCTTACTGCGCATGTAGGCCGCAAACATTCTATCAGGATTTGCGGCTTATGGTGGACGGTTTGGGTCTTATTAGGCTCTACGGTTTGCGGGGTCAAGGTTGCTCCTCGTATCATTGCCCCTTCAGTCCGGAACTACGGCTTAGGGTTTAGGGTGTAGGGTGTGTTGCGGGAAGCGGGGGGTTGGGGGGGGCGCAGCCCCCCCCATCTGCAAACACGATTCTCGCATGATGGGTTTCCGAAAATGTGTGCATATGGCATATGCTTTGAGGCAAGCTTGCACGGCTTCAGAAAGCGGGGGGGTTGGGGGGGGCGCAGCCCCCCCCATTTGCAAACACAATTCTCGCATGATGGGTTTCCGAAAATGTGACGATTCTCGCATGATGGGTTTCCGCAAAAGTGTGCATATGGCATATGCTTTGAGGCAAGCTTGCACGGCTTAAACAAAGCGGGGGGGGGGGTTATTTCTTTCTTTCTTTCTTTCTGTCTTTCTTTCTTTCTTACAGGTCCAAATCTCAACGTGCTACAACAACACATTACGTCCAACCCTTCGTCCTTTTGCAACTCGCGCTTGGAGCGTCGGGGCGGCCATCGTTGGCCCCGACAGGACTCAAAAGCTAGTTAACGTCCGGGGCTGGTTCAAGAGGAACCTCGGATGCTTCAATCTGAAACTTTGCTTCGGTTTAGGGCTTACTGCGCATGTAGGCCGCAAACATGCTATCAGGATTTGCGGCTTATGGTGGACGGTTTGGGTCTTATTAGGCTCTACGGTTTGCGGGGTCAAGGTTGCTCCTCGTATCATTGCCCCTTCAGTCCGGAACTAGGGCTTAGGGTTTAGGGTGTAGGGTGTGTTGCGGGAAGCGGGGGGTTGGGGGGGGCGCAGCCCCCCCCATTTGCAAACACGATTCTCGCATGATGGGTTTCCGAAAATGTGTGCATATGGCATATGCTTTGAGGCAAGCTTGCACGGCTTGAGAAAGCGGGGGGGTTGGGGGGGGCGCAGCCCCCCCCATTTGCAAACACAATTCTCGCATGATGGGTTTCCGAAAATGTGACGATTCTCGCATGATGGGTTTCCGCAAAAGTGTGCATATGGCATATGCTTTGAGGCAAGCTTGCACGGCTTAAACAAAGCGGGGGGGGGGTATTTCTTTCTTTCTTTCTGTCTTTCTTTCTTTCTTTCTTTCTTTCTTTCTTTCTTTCTTTCTTTCTTTATTTCTCTCTTTCTTTCTTTCTTTCTTTCTTTCTTTCTCTCTTTCTTTCTTTCTTTCTTTCTCTCTTTCTTTATTTCTTTCTCTCTTTCTTTCGTTCTTTCTGTCTTGCTTTCCTTCTTTCTTTGTTTCTCTCTTTCTTTCTTTCTTTCTTTCTTTCTTTCTTTCTTTCTTTCTTTCTGTCCTTCTTTCTTTCTTTCTTTCTTTCTTTCTTTCTTTCTTTCTTTCTCTCTTTCTTTCTTTATTTCTGTCTTCGTTTCCTTTCTTTCGGCCTTTCTTTCTTTAGTTCTTTCTTTCTTTCTGTCTTGCTTTCCTTTCTTTCTTTCTTTCCTTTCTTTCTTCCTTTCTTTCTTACTTCCTTTCTTTCTATCTTTCTTTCTCTCTTTCCTTTCTTTCCTTTCTTTCTTTCTTTCTTTCTTTCTTTCTTTCTCTCTTTCTGTCTTTCTTTCTTTCTTGCTTAAAAAACAGAAAAAAACACAAAAAAAAAACAGAAAAAACACAAATAAGATACCCTACCCACATCCCGAGGTCCACCTCCATAGGGCTGATCGGGTTTATAGGGTCTATAGGGGCTTTTGGAGTTCTAGGAAGTCTAGGGTTTGGCAGGGTTTCTGGGGTTCAAGTGGGGGTTTAGGGTGCCATCCAAGCCTGGGTAAACATCACGAAGGGAATGCCGCGTGGTTCAAGCCTTGGCGGAAGCGCTTGGCTGGCGGCCACAGCTCTCTGGTAACATGCTGCTTCTTCGTAGGGGGGGGGGGGGGGGGGGGGAAATTGGATTCTAGAGTTTAGGGTTTTCGGGTTGAGCTAGGGTTCCTCATTTAAGGTGGGGAATTAGGAACCTAGGGTTTAGGGTTTAGGAACCTAGGGTTTCGGGTTTCGGGTTTCGGGATTCGGGATTCGGGTTTCGGGTTTCGGGTTTAGGGTTTAGGGTTTAGGGTTCCTCCTTTGAGGTGCTTCTTTCATGGCGCGGCTCCGGATCCGACTTCGCCGCGTTGGGCGCAGGGCGCGGGGAAGAGGACCGTCCCGACCATGGCGCCCAGCTTGGCGGCCTCTGCGGGGCCCGAAACTCCTTAGACCCCTAAACCCCCCAAAAGCCTAAACCCTAAACCCTAAACCCTAAACCCTAAACACCCAAAAAACCTATAGAACTTCACAAGGGATCCAAGATCCCGGCGGCAGCCGAAATGCCGTGGAAGGTGGATCGCACCTTAGGCACGGCATCTACGCGGGGGGGGGGGGTGGGTTTTGGGGCCCTACATTTAGGATCCTTTTGGGGTCCCCTATATAGTACGGCGCCCTTATAATAAGGACACCAGGAAAGGGCCCGAATTTAGAGAACTACCCATAACATGGATGGCTTGGGCTCGCTGCGCTGTGAGGGAAAGCCAGAACTGGGAGCATGAACGTGGAGATGTTGTTCATGGAGAGCGCCAGACTCAGCGGTTAATGGCTTCAATGCATTTGGCTTGAAGAGGTCACAAGAGATGCGGCAAGCGTACTTCACGATGCACAGCAGCACGTACTGCAGCACGTGCTCGTCACGCCGCGATGCATACGCCTTGGGGCGGGCGAGAGGTGCTCGGCTACATTCTGCCACAGATGCAGCAGTGCGGCAACGGTTCCAGGGACCTACGAGTACATCCCTAAACCCTAAACCCTAAACCCTAAACCCTAAACCCTAAAACCCTAAAACCCTAAAACCCTAAAACCCTAAACCCTGAACCCTAAACCCTAAACCCAGGTAAGTACACTGAGCCAAGCACTAGACCAAAGGCACAGAATGCAAGGCAGCTGGCAACCTGACTTCGCAAATGCACTTCGCATGCACACGGTGTGAGAGTGCGTCCGTTCTCAGAGGTTTCTGCAGAGACTGAACAGCACGAAAATGGGCCCAACTTGCTAGTGATCCTCTAGCAGAGTAAGAACCACTTCCGGGCAATCAGTTCTGCTAGTACTTGTGGGGTGGGTCTTGGGATGCGTGCTGCCTCTTATATCTAACAGTCCTTAGTAGGTAGAATCCCTGTTAAGGCAAGGACTGTTAGTATAAGGGGGAACATCCCAAGGTCCTAAACCCTAAACCCTAAACCCTAAACCCTAAAACCCTAAACCCTAAACCCTAAACCCTAAACCCTAAACCCTAAACCCTAAACCATGGCTTTCAGGAAGCCACTGAAGGCTTTGCAACTCTTGGCTCGGTGTCGCTGGCAACGCCATTACTGTACCAATACAAACAAACAGTCTATCCCAAACCACTAAATTTAAACTTACCTAGGGTTTAGGGTTTAGGGTTTGGGGTTTGGGGTTTGGGGTTTGGGGTTTGGGGTTTGGGGTTTGGGGTTTGGGGTTTAAACCTACCTAAGCACTTGTACCACTGAACCTTAGGCCCTGAACCACTCTAACTCGGGACCACAAGAATCAACACAGAGAACTGCAACAGAGAACACGCAGGTGCTTGACGATTAACCGGTTATCAGGGTGCTCGGGCTCAGGTTTGGTAAGTTTTGATATTCGGGTTTAGGTTGAGTGGCGATCATAACGCCTTCAGGGCTTCAGGTCCAGAGCCGAGCAACTTTTTGTTCACTAACATGCCCCCCAATCTGCTTGCTCAGCTTACGCCATGCAGACTCCAGCTTGCGCAAGTGGGGCGTTGGTCGACATGATGGGCGCTTTGCTACCCTGTAAGAAGTTCAAACTGCCCAAACAAAGGCATCCGTTCTGCTGAATGGGCTCACAAGGGATCCTAACCCTACAAAGAACGAACAAGAGTACAACTTGGCCTGAATCCTAAACCCCTGGATAAAAGGGAAACAAGGGCACCAAAAATGCGCACCACACTCAGATCAACCCCCACATGAAGGAAGCTTTGCCTCGGGATTATAGCCTCAGTTGGAGCAGCGCCACACATCCAACGCCAGCTTGGTTGAAGGTTTGGCGTCGGACTTGTGTGCATCCTGTACACCATGGGCCACCGATGGCACTGGAGTAAAACGAAGCAGATTTGGGAGTTTACGAAGAAAAGGGACCACCAAAATAGACCCCCAAATAGTAGCGTTCCCTTAGAATAAGGACCCCAAGAAGGTACCCCCCCTAACTTCGGAAACCCCCACGTGTCAGGGGATCCATTGCGTTCGCGGAGTGAGGATGCTTAGGATGCCTCACGTGCACGCGACTCTCTCTGATTCGACAAGGTGCGACGGTGGAGTTGACCAAACTCATGGGCCTGCCAGCCTAAAATGCGTAGATCGTAGAAACCCCAAGCCAGCCTAAAGTATGTAGATCGTAGAAACCCCCAAAAATATTTAATACAAAACAGGTCCACAGTCGCCCAGCATTTGAGTCAACCCCCGCGTGATGGACTGACGAGCACTTTGTGCGTGCTCTTCCATCCCAGCCTGGGGAAATCACCATGGCATACCAAACAAACATGCTTAAGCTTACTGTTGGTTAGTTGGGAATGGGGGGAATGAGGTACCCTGTATAATCCCTGAAAGGGTACATATAGGGCCCTAAGTCCCTCATTCCCTGCTAACCAACAGTAAGCTTAAAGAGCTCTGGGTTCGAAGAGCTCTGGATCTTCAACATTGAACCCAGAATGGCGCAACGCTTCGCTGTGTCCAAAGAGGGGTCGAACCTAAAATGCCAAGGCCAGTGAATTTTTCCTCCGAAAACCTTCACAACACATGCTCTCTACGATGATACACCTGTGTTGCACAAGACCTCCCTCTCACTCGACCACTCAGATCACAGGCACGCCTCTTTCTGGCTCAGAGCGAGACTATACTTTCATCGGAGTGCAGCTCATACCTGTGGTCAGGGTCCGGTCATGTGTGGTGATGAAGGGTTGTTTGGGGTTCAGGGTTTGGGTGCCGGAAACCCTGGGAGGTTTACGGCGTGCAAACGACCTCTCGGTCTCCCTCAACTCCTTCAGGCCCCCCGAAACACTAGAAAGCCGGAGGATCAGGACGCAGATGTCAGCTGCAAACCCGGACACCCCCCTTTGCGTTATGGTAGTCTGCACCCTAAACCCTAAACCCTAAACCCTAAACCCTAAACCCTAAACCCTAAACCCTAAACCCTAAACCTGCAAAGACACAGGCCTCTGCTCCAGGGAGGCCCTGCCCAGGTCGATGTAAATTTGAAAACCTTCCGGGTGTGCTTCCACGGCGAAGAGGAAATCCTTCGCAGTGCATCTGAGGGGTTTAGTCAGGGTTTAGGGTTTAGGGTTTAGGGTTGAGGGTTGAGGGTTGAGGGTTGAGGGTTGAGGGTTTAGGGTTTAGGGTTTGGGATTTAGGGTTTAGGGAGGCGCTATCTTTCACGTATGGGGGCTTCCGAAATCCGCCGAGGCCACGGGCCGCAGGTGTCTGGGTAGCACGAAGCAGGCACCCCCACCTCTTAGAGGTGGAGTCTCCGCCCCTTCATTTTGCACCCCTAAACCCTAAACCCTAAACCCTAAATCCCTGAAATAGGTACCCCCCCTGCCGGCAAATGTCTGGGAGCTCCCCCCCCCCCCACCCGCGCCCCCCACCCGCCCCTCCGTTTGTCGAGGCGGGTCACGTAGCGTTAAACTTCATGGTACCTTATTGAGGTCTTTATTATAAGGGGGATCCTTTCGGGGGCCCCCTAATTTCGTAACCCCCATATGGGGGTTTCCGACATTAGGGGTACCTTATTGGGGTCCTTTTGCAAGGGGGATCATACTATTTGGGGATCTAAGATAAATGCATTTGAGGAAGGCGGTGTCTTGGGAAGTGCCCCCCTTATACCAACAGCTCCTTAGTAGGGATTCTGGTACCCCCTACTAGAATCCGGACAGTGAGTAATTCCGGGAACATCCCAATGCGGTATCTTTCACACGTGACTCCGCAACAAAAGCTGACTCTAGTGAGTATCTAGACAATAAACATCCGCCGAGGCCTTGGGCCGTAGGTGTATGGGGAGCACAAAGTAGTCGTTGACCACTTTTTGGCTGAAATGGGTACCCCCTAGCCAACACGTGTGCGGAAGGCGATGGTGTGTTTCTGGACGGGGAGCAGTTTGGGCTGGCCCCCCCCCCCCCACTTCCCTACACCAAGGTTTCCCTTGCCTTACGACTGGTCCAATACAGCATTGGACCAATAGGTTCGCCTCCATGTGATCGAGACACCCCACCGGGTTTAGGGTTCATAGGGCTCGTAGGGCTTATAGAGTTTGTCGGGTTTGTAGGGTTTATAGTGTGTGCAGGGCTTGAGGTTTTGGGGGGGACAATACCCCCGCATACGAGACCGATTCTAATCCCTATAAACTTGGGACATCGCCTAGCGCCTCAGAAGCTCGAGGTACGAAGGTATAATTACCGTGCCCCGTGTTAGTACTCCCACCCCCATGGCATCCCCCTCACCCCCGCCCCATCCAAACCCAGAACCCTCATGCTAACGCCTGTCCCTCTTACCCGAAGCCCTACACCCAAAACAACCCTGAAACCCTAAAAACGCCGAACAAAACCTTTGAAAACCCTAGAAGCAGCCACAACAAGCCACTCGACTAACTAAAATACCCAGTCGCCGTGATGATTTACTAACACATAGCCAACGCAAGTTACACAAGTTCATCCCTCATTACCGAGAGGGGCCTGACGTAATTTGAAGCAGATTTTGTCAATACTTTCGTTTCGAGATGCAGCCCTAAACCCTAAACCCTAAACCCCAAACCCCAAACCCTAAACCCTAAACCCTAAACCCTAAACCAAGTTTGTTTCGAAACGCTGAGGGTCCAGATCCTGAAAGTTAAATTTGCGCAGCTGGATCTTGGATTTGTGTATATGTACATACAACACGAATATCTATCTCTCTATCTATCTGTACATGCATACATATGTATATATATATATATGTATATATGTATATGTATATATATATATATGCTATATGTGTATATCACGGGTCATTGTGGTCTCCGTAAGGTGTCAAGTAACTGCAAATGCCGCACAGTTTGAACAGAGGAATGAAGCCGAGTAAACCTTTTTGTGGGCCGCAAGGAGTCTTTTTCGGACACCTGGTGAACCAGGTAGAAGGCTTTCTCATTTCATCCGGGGTCAGCGCTTGCCATTTCGAAAACGGCAGCTGTGTAATACAAGCGTTGTCACAAGATGCTTCAGATTAGGGCACAGCTCGGACAGATTACTTGGTTAACCCGGGCGAGGACTTGTGAACAAACACTTTTCTTGGTATACGCCAATCTTTAGATACAGGTGTGCTTTGCAAAAAGGGCACGGATCCGGTACGGCATCGATGCAACTTGATATGGTGATGCGAATGGCTTGGGCACGACAATTATGATTGATGTGTAGGGCAGGCAAAAGCTCATGGATTCTGCCGACGGCTTGTGTCATGTCCCAAGCACACGTGAGCAAAATTGGCATTTGGGGTCGTCTATTTCAAGACACATATATGCATGATAAGCTGTAAAGGGTTCAGTATTGGTAGTTATTTAGGCTCCTGCATAAATCTTGACTTGGTGAATGCTAATACTTTGAGGCAGTTCTGGTAGGGCTCCTGAAGCCGTTGGAACCAATAGTTCGAGATAACGTCTTCCCTGTCATGGCAGGGGTAAGTGAAGAAACACCCAGGCACGCCCTGCCCTTGAAACCCTGAGGCCCCCTACACCCACACTCCTTAAGGACTGAAACTCCGTGAGTCCTCAAGGTCTGCTTGGTGTATGGCCGCCTTCTCTTTGCGTTGATGCGCCTGCACAAAGACAAAGGCAGATTCCAAGCGGTTCTCATAAGAGTGGTCGTCTGAAGGTCTAGGCCTTGAGGATGTCAATTCCGAAGTCCACACCACGAAACCCGAGCCCTTGTTGGGGCTCTTGTGGCTTCAGGATAACCGGCGAAGCTCTGAAACTTATGCATCTTTCTGCTGTTCAGGGCTGCGTTGACGACTATCTTTGGGGCTCTGACTGTACCAACCTGTAGGCTTTCAGAGCAGACAATCCTGGCGTTGCAAGGCACCTCTCGCAAGTGCCAGCACTCCTGACGTCTGGGCTTGCTGCTCTTTGCCTGGCATGGAGTACGCAGGGTGGCATGGCGCGTGTGCCGGTGACGTCACAGTTCGGCGGGCCTTCTCGATCACACTGTGCAGAGCAGACAGAACTTTGAAGAAGGCGACCATGATCCGTGCAATTGATTAAGCAAGTGGCCGCACGCCACACAAGGGATGGGAGCAGAACAGAACTCTGAGCCAACAAGCTGCAAGGGGCTTCTGCAGAAAGAGTCCCTGCCCATCCCAAAGGCATGCCCACGAAGCGAGACTGCCAATACTGCCACAAAGATCTGCAACCCTAAGCCCTAAACCCTAACCCTAAACTCTAAACCCTAAACCAAACAGGCGAGTCCGACGAAGCCGGCCGTATTCAGCGTCCTGGCCCCCATCCAGCGTAGCGCCTTTGCCCAGCATCGACAACTGCCGGTTCGGGTCTTCCATGTGTATTATTAGGATTATTATTATTCTATTATGATGATTATTTTGTTGTTATGATTATTATTTTCTATTACATTTATGATAAATGATAACTATGATTATTATTATTATTATGATGATGACTATTATTGTGATTATTTTACTGTAAATGCTTCCATGTGAGGTGTCGTGTGTAAGCCTCGTGCCATTAGGCTTGCCCCATTGCCAAGAATAGTCACCTCGTCCATGCGAGCACTCAGCATGTTGGGGTTGTCCGATCCTTTAGTTTTGGCTGCGCGCTATGCGCACAGCAAAGGGTAGCTGGGCTGGGCAGTGGGCCAGAATCGTGGCCGCTGCATGCACAGCCAAAGAGGTCAGTGACCTCAGGGTAAGACCGCACAACTTCCTTCTGCAGGCGGCCTTGAGTCTTGTCAAGATACTCTGTCTTGCCAAAGACCTTCAGGAGGATTTCCGGGGAGAAAATCACCTGCGCTAGGGAACTTGCACGCTCTGAGTCACGGTTGCTGCGTTCGCAAAGGGCATCACATGTCAACTTGCGTGGCTCATGTGACGGACGCGCTGTCTTTTTACCAAGGAATGGAAGGCCACCCTGCTTGAGCAGCCGGGCGCGACTTGCGCCCCCTCCACAAATCTCCTCACATCAAGAGACAGCCCTGCTCCTGGCGTTGCAGAAGCGGTGCCAGCCTGGGTGGTGTGGCTACTTGGAGGTTCATGGTACTGATTAACCAATGATGGCTGTACTTGTAACCCACTTACAAGCCCCTTAAGTGCCCCAATCTGGTAATACGTACAGTTATAAGTACAGCTATAGTTGGTTAATAAGTACAATGAACCTCCAAGTATGTGTGTCCCTCTAAATCCATCTGCACCCTTGTCGCAAAGCTTGCCCCACTCTGCAAGTGACGTCCCCAACTCTGCGCACCTGCACCTTCACACCATCCTCAAACCCTGGGGGCTGCGCCGCGCTTTGCCCCGCTCAGACTGCACGTCCATGAGGTAGGTCCACATCGCCGCGTCGATGACGTCGTCCACGCCCTCGCCGGAGAGCGCAGAGCACTCCATGTAGTCGAGCGCGCCGATTTTTCGGGCCAGGGCCTGCGAAGAAGCCAAGACGAGCTGCAAGCATCAGAGCCCTGAAGCCCCAAAGCCCCCCAAACTTAAGTAGTAACTTAAGCATCATCCCAGTAAAGTCGCAGCCTTTTTTTCCCAGTCGCCCGTCCCCCGATTTTTGCTGGCCTGGCCCTCTTGGTAGGAGATGCACGCTGACGGCGGCAACTCCGTGCACAAGTCCAGCTTTGTCCCGACCAGAAGGATCGGAGCATCGCCAATCTCGTGCCGCCACTTCTCCTCGATGCTCTCGAAGGAAATCCTCCAGGTCTGGAGCCATTTAGGCCCTAAGCCCTAAGCCCTAAAGCCCTAAAACCCTAAAACCCAAACCCCAAACCCTAAACCCTAAACCCTAAACCCCAAACCCTAAACCCTAAGCCCTAAACCCAGACGCGCCCGCGGGAGTTCCTAGAGATATCGGCCCTCCCAGGCCTGGACGCCAAACAGAAGAGCATGATGTAGACCGACGCGCTTTGGTAGAAGCCTTGCTGCGAGCCACGGGAGGGGAACCCTAGCCCTAAACCCTAAACCCTAAACCCTAAACCTAAACCCTAAACCCTAAACCCTAAACCCTAAACCCTAAACCCTAAACCCTAAACCCTAAACCCTAAACCCTAAAAGGAGTGGAGCGCCTTAAATTTGGACCCAAGAGGCCCTCTAATTCAGTCGAAACGCAAGTGACAGGGCCCCGAGAGTATCAACGGGTCCTACAGTATCCCTAAACCCTAAATCCTTCCTTGTACTCTCCGTTTATATATGGGTTTGGGATATGTTGAATTATTCCTAAACAGCAGGATGCCCCAACTGGAACAACAAACCCTAAGCCCTAAGCCCTAAGCCCTAAGCCCTAAACCCTAAACCCTAAACCCTAAACCCTAAACCCTAAACCCTCCCTAAACCCGCAGTTGCGGCCAGGCGTCTGTTTTGCAACTCCCCGTGTGAGCTCGCTGCATCACTCAGGCTTATCATGGCCGTGGTGCCGCTGCCTCAAAGTTCAGGGGTTTAGGGGCTTAGTTTGGGTTTTAGGGTTTAGGGTTTAGGGTGTAGGGTTTAGGGTTTAGGGTTTAGGGTTTAGGGTTCAGGGTTCAGGGTTTAGGGTTTAGGGTTTAGGGTTTAGGGTGTTACAAGGAGCCACCAAGCTTTCCTCGACCCGAAGAGGCCCTGCGTAAGTTGAGCCAGGCACCATCTTTCCAAACATACTCGCCTGAGCTTGGGGGGGTCTGGGGATTAGGTTTCAGGTTTAGGGTTCCGGGGGTTTAGGGATTCCGGGTTAGTTTAGGGTTTAGGGTTTAGGGCTTAGGGCTTAGGGCTTAGGGCTTAGGGCTTAGGGCTTGGGGCTGAGGGTTTAGGGTGTAGGGTTTAGGGTTCGGGAAGCAAATCAGCACATTTGATAAACCTAAACCTGCAGCCTGCGTTCATGAGGGGTCAGCACGAAAATCGGACAGACCCTGCGTTGACACAGTATGGGCCATATGTGGAGGGGGCTCGCCTCCCAAAGAAGTTCTGAAAACCGCGGGGCTAAGTTTGCCAAGATACAATTTCTGAATCTGACCGTGCCGTCATCCTCAGTCCATGCAGATCACCGAACCCCTAGCCTTAGCCCTCAACCGCCTAAAGCCCAAAACCCTCCCTAAACCCTACAGCCTAAACCCTAAACCCTCAGTCCCAGGGCGAGCGGCTTTCAAGTGCCCACTGCCATTCAGCCTGCCCATCCCAGTCCATCCGGTCCCGGACCCAAGGCAATCTCTGCATCGGAAGACCAAGCTGGTCTTCCTGGGTTCAGAGCTTAGGGCTTAGGGCGCCCGCAGTCCAGAGGCCCCAGGCGAGAGGCTGGGCTTGGTTTTGGCGTCGAGACTTTGTGGGCTGCTTTGACATTTGAGGGCTTAGGGCCCTAAAACCCTAAACCCTAAAACCCTAAAGCCCTAAAACCCTAAAACCCCAAAACCCCAAAACCCCAAAACCCCAAAACCCCAAAACCCCAAAACCCCAAAACACCAAAACCCCAAAACCCCAAAACCCCAAAACCCCAAAACCCCAAAACCCCAAAACCCCAAAACCCTAAAGCCCTAAACGCTTAGGGCATCTAAACATTCTGCAGGATGCCCAACTCCAGGCAGACCGTGGACATCCCGGCCATCACCTGAGCACTTGGTTTTCCTTTAGATCTGGCTGGTTCTTAGTAGGGAATGAGGGAATGAGGTACAGTACCCTATATAATCCCTTGAAGTGTATATGTTGGGCCCTAATTCCCTAATTCCCTAAGAACGAGATTTGAACCCTTCTCACCTGAAGCCAGCAGCGCAACTGCGCTCTGAGCTTCCAGCCTACGAAAACCAGGTGCACGTCATGATCCTGTGGTAGGTAGGAGATTGTATCCGCGTGGGCATCCCAATCCCGATCAAACGGGGATTGTGATGACACAATCGCCTTAGCTCGAGGCAACCAAATTCATGCTGCTTCATGCTACAAGTGAAAAGACCACACCTTCAATCCCCAAACCCCAATACAGGGGCCGTAATCCGCCCACCCCAAGCGGGGGCGGCGTCAGTGAAGACTCATTTCTCCTCACCAACCCATAGATTTAGAATGCTTCAGTGCAGACCCAAACCCAGTAAATACTTGCGCCCCCAATGTATTTGCTGTGCATGATCAAAAAGGGGCTCCAGCACCCTACGCCTGCTGTGGAGCGCTCCATATTAGTGTAATTGCCAGTAGTGGTGCTTTGGTGCTGTGGATGAATGTTTTTCCACCAACCCCACCCCCCCACACCCACCCCCCCACCCCCCCCACCCCACCCCCCCCCCCCCCACCCACCCACCCCCCACCCCCCCGTTTTTTTCCCTCGGTGGACTGGACCCAGAGGAATCAACCCACCCCCACCCCACCCCCACCCCCACCCCCACCCCCCCACCCCCACCCCCACCCCCACCCCACCCCCACCCCACCCAGACCCCACCACCCCACCCCCCCCCACCCCCACCCCCACCCCACCCCCCCCACCCCACCCCCACCCCCACCCACACCCCACCCCACCCCCCACCACCACCCCCACCCCACCCCCACCCCCCCCCCCCACCCCCCCCCACCCCCCCCACCCCCACCCCCACCCCCCCCCCCCCACCCCACCCGCCCCCCCACCCCCCCCCCCCCCACCCCCACCCCCCCCCCCCCCACCCCACCCCCCCACCCCACCCCCTCCCCCCACCCCACCCCACCCCCCCACCCCACCCCCACCCCACCCGCCCCCCACCCCACCCCCCCACCCCACCCCCACCCCACCCCCACCCCACCCCAGGGCACTGGTGGTGGCCATTAAATAATCAGAATAGGCCTAGTACATTGAGATACGGACCACAAGCCACTACTGTTAGGCATTTTCCCGACCCCTATGTTAGGCCGGCTGAAGTGCTGCAAGTCGCTGTGAACTCTGTTTCGTTCAGCGCGCCGCCGCTCTTTACTTCGCCATCTTGTCCGAGCACCTGCACACCAAGAGGGTTTAGGGTTTAGGGTTTAGGGTTTAGGGTTTAGGGTTTAGGGTTTAGGGTTTAGGGTTTAGGGTTTAGGGTTTAGGGTTTAGGGTTTAGGGAGTACTGTGGGGTCAAGCTGTCATTCGCACGCGTTCAGTCAGGGAAAGCCTGCTGGATGCTGCTTACCCACTCACCACATCTGCGCATCATCGCAGCATTAAAGTGAGCTAGGAATAATACCTCACAGCCCTCACAATGTAGGACAAGGTGCGCAAACATTCCGCGCAAGGATCGGTTCTTTCCAGGCTTCTGCCACGCGCTGTCGCAAGACGTCAACTGTGTCCTCCTCCTTCAGCTGAAAACCTCAGCCGCTTGTGAAACTCAGTAGCATTGAGAATCGAATCCCTTGTGACGATACTGTAAGGACTCCCGGCCCACCACACCCCCCCACCCTCCACGCCCGAAGAATGGACGTTGACATCCCAAGCTTTCAACCCATGAAGCCTACATGAACAGCCTGAGGGCCAGGCAATATTTCTGTCCGGACAGGCAGCGAACATCGACACTGCGCATGTTGCAGGGACTCTCTTCGGCTTTTGCACAAGCCTGGTGTTAGTCTGCAGTGTACGACCATGAGTCCACGGATGTAAGGACTTAGATTTGGCAGGTTAGTTTGGAAGACAATGTACCGGACGTGATGCCTGCATGCTTGCTATTGTTGCAAGGTGCTTTGCGCTTTGGCAGCTGGGTGTCATTCTTGACATCTTGGGCGTCTAGGTCAGAAGCCGTGCATAGCTGAAGACGCGCCAGCAAGCATTGTTGCAGCTTCGTGCCATGGCAGCCGCTAGCCAGCCCTCAGAATCGCGCTGCTGAGACTCAAGTGTTTCGAGAA